GTGTGCCTTGGCAGCAATATAAATATATAGAAGACATAAAACACATTTCAAAAAATGGTTAACTCAAAATTGAAATGATTTCATTCCCATAAACAATGTGCTCTAACTGGTCTATGACAATATCTACAAATTAACATCTAAAACAATTACATGTTATCCCTTTGTTCTGGTACTCCACAGAACACCGGTTCAGTAAACAGTTTGTATATTTTACATTAAATTACATACAATGATAGTATTGTTTTGGCTGTATATTTTTCTGTTCTCATTATAGTGTCTGTCAGACATAGACCATATCAATCTTCACTGCAGCTTTTTATATGACATCTTTAACCAAAAATAGGTCGATCATTAAACACATCAATCACAGGCTGTTATTATTTCTTCATGCTTTGTTTAACGAGGAACATGTATATTTCTATACAAGATAAAAGTGCATTGACCTTGTATTGAGTCACTTTTCCAAGCATATGAGTAATGGTACTAATGCTGATGACACATCAAGTGTTTACCAGAGGGTGACAGTCACTCGGTAACGACAATAAAAGGAGATGAAAGGCTCGAGCCTGGCAACAACGAGCTCATTTGGTTTCCAAATGCACCGTTTCGCCCACTCATGGAGAAGAGCAGGGCAACCTGCGCATTTCCAGCAAGCTTAAGAAGGCTCTGTGAATATAGCAGCTTTTTAATTAAAGCTTGGATTGATATGTAGAACACTCTTTATAATGGAAATCCCGCGATGGTCATAGGGCTTGAGAGAGATCCTCCTATGGGAAAAAAACTGTCTTATTTAATCCTGCTTTCTCCAGACACGATCTGAACCTTGACTAGACGTGTAAAGCACATAGGTGGCTGGTGCCCTGATCTGCGAGTCATGTCCTGTTTGTTCTGTAAATGGCTAGAGCGATGTAGATGTAATCATGTTTGGCCTTTCAAGGTTGGTCGGGGCCAGTGACTTAAACTTTGTTGGGTGGCTCCGTCTTCAGGCCGGGCTCCCGGGCGTGTCATGTCACAGAGATCAGGATGAAGACCGGATGTTTCCTGCTTCCCTGCCAAACTTCATTGTCAGTCTGCCATTCTTCACAGTAACTTGATATGACCTGACTCCATGCAGAAACTCAGTGCTTTATTCACATCAAAGGCACTGAGGCGTATCAGGGCTGTCTGACGCTGATGCTGGATGTCAGTTACTTATTTTTCAGTTTGCCCACACAACTCGCTGTTCGCTGACATTTTGCCTTACAGTGAAATGTGTTCTATTTTTGTCTCAGAATTTTGTTAGAAAATTCACATCCGGTACAAGCTCTTATGTAAACTGGAAAGAATATTTCACAAATGATTGCATGATGTAGCCATGAAGCTCATACATATCTTGTGTTTGAACATTTTAATAAGGTTCAAAAAGGAATTTTATAGGTAATATACATTTCTGTTTGAACAGGCTAACCTGGGATCAAGTCTCATCAGGGAAAACAGTCACACAAGAATGTTTTCTTATATTTTGTTGGGCTTCTCAAGCGTTCTTCAGTCATACCCTGACATTTAGATTGATATTTCCAAGGTGTTATTTTGTGAAGGCTTGATAATCCATGTTAACACCTCTTGAGTGTGTAAAATGGCCCTGACGCTGATTTAATACCTGTTGCTGGGAGAGGAGGAGGGATAATGAAGGGATGAAGAATGCATGTGCAACGCCACGTCCTCTCTCCTTTGATTCCAAGGCCCGGCCTATTCACAACCACCTGGCCAAGGCGTGTTAATAAAGACACATGATGCTGTTGGGTGCAATCAAAGCCCCCTTCTCCTCATTTCCTGAGTTCCCCTGGCTTTCTATCTCTTGTCAACAGAATCACAATGAAACTTTCCTCTTCCTGAACACAGAATATCAAAGACACTGACGTTTTCTGCGCGTGAAAAAGTGAGGCGGTGACGTTTGTGTTTGCATTGCTTTAACTTCCGGTTCTGCTTCTTCAACCACCGTATCTGTTAGGATGTTGTTACAATAAACTATACAGCAAGGACACGATGTAGAGTACAACCTTTGTCAATAGCAGGACATTTTCCCCCCTTCGTCACCAACACTCTTTTACGCCAAGTTATTTTCATAACTGTATTAATCTCATGTTTGCCTATACATAACAACTGAAAGATATGTTGTGTATAAAATTAAATGACTATAAAAATAATTAATTTAATTATTAATATATTAATATTATTTATTATTATTATATTGTATATTAATTACTTATTATAATCACTATTCCTATTTGTGGGTGTATGTTTTATGTGTTCATTATTGAAGATAACTTGTAGATAGTAAGAGTTTGTAAGCAAAACTCTGTGGTAACAGAATTGAAATGTAATGTAACAATAGATCCATGTACATGTTTTTAAAAGAAATAACTGCTCCATAAAACTGACTTTCTTTTTTAAAATGATTTGCAAATTGCTTGTATTGAAGAAATCATAAAGTGTTAGGAGATTAAATGTAAAACGTAACATGACTTTCGAATTATCATCCGACCAATGCGTATCTAAAGTGCAAGGGAAAGCCTTTCAGTTGAAATGTAGAAAACTTTCAATGACCCCTTTTTTTCTTTAACACTGGCTTTTTTTTTGCATATCATGTTTCTATTTTGAATGTGGCAGGTGTTTACGGGCACAGCTCTATCCTGTCCTGTCCTTGTGTACCGCTGACGCCTGTCACCAAGCGGCATATGCTGTTGTTTGTTCTGCAATGAAAGAAATGGAGCTAATTAAAGAGATGTAGTGCTGCCACAGGAAGTGTACGTAAGCAGACCATTCACTGCTCTGATTAGTTAGTTGTTCAAACAAGGCTCAGGATAAGCTGAAAGACGCAACTCTATTGATGAAGTGCTATTAGAAAACCTTGAAGTCTCTGGAAATTCAAATAACACCAGTGTGCAGCGGAAAGAAAGACCGAAAATGCACTCAATTAGAACCACCAAATTGTTTGATTAAAAAAAAAAAGTAAAGTGTGTAAAATGTAATATCTGATGTTGAAAAATGTATAACTGCCCTATTTTGTATATATGAAAGGGACATACTTAGGTATTGTCATAGTGTTGTATTAGTTTGGTTTTGGCTAATTTAGGATTTGCATGTAAACTAGGAACTGATTATTATTTTATTTAGTGATTATTACAGTGATTACTTTTTTCAATAAACGTTCAGTTGTTTGTTCATAAAATGACAGTTAAGTGTAGAAATGTGTGTGTCTTGTTTTGTCTACTATTTAAAGATATAAATATCATAGAGAAGTACAAAAAACAAACAGAGAATGTTCACATTAAATTGTTTCTTTAAATATTACACACCAAACATGCAATTCTTTGAGTAGTTGACTTATTGATTAATCGAGTAATCTTTGCAAACAATTTCTATTTTTAAATTAGAAAGAAAATATGTTTTTTTCTGTTTTTCTTATCTGTAAATATATCTAAAAGCTTCACTGTTGTAAGACTTATTTTTTAATATGTATCTGCAATTACAGTAGAAAGTGTGAATGTCATTACTTGAGTCTGGATTTCTTAAATGCCAGTGACATGTAGTGAAGTTTTAATACGTTGTAATGCTCATGGTGGGCAGTTTATTAGGCAAGGCGAGTTCATTTATATAGCACCTTTCAACACAAGGCAATTCAAAGTGCTTTACAAAAATGAAAAAATATTAAGAAAATGGCATTTAAAAACAGTCATTAAAAAGCAAAGATAATAAAATAAACATTAAAAGAAAAAATACATGAATAAAAGTTACTATTTAAAAGTAGTCAGAGTTGCAGTGGACCTGCAGGTTTCTGGGAGTTTGTTCCAGATATTTGGAGCATAATAACTGAACGCTGCTTCTCCATGTTTAGTTCTGACTCTGGGGACATAAAGCTGACCAGTCCCTGAAGACCTGAGAGATCTGGATGGTTCATAATTTAGCAGGAGGTCAGAAATGTATTTTGGGCCTAAACCATTCAATGCTTTACAAACCAGCAGCAGTATTTTTGAAATCTATTATTTGACACACAGGAAGCCAGTGTAAAGACTTCAGAACAGGAGTGATGTGATCCACTTTCTTAGTGTTAGTGAGGACTCGAGCAGCGGCGTTCTGAATCAGCTGCAGCTTTCTAATAGATTGTTTTAGTGAGACCTGTAAAGACACCATTGCAGTAGTCCAGTCTACTGAAGATAAAAGCATGGACAAGTTTTTCCAAATCCTGCTGTGACATTAGTCCTTTAATCCTAGATATATTCTTTAGGTGATAGTAAGCTGATTTAGTAACTGTTTTAATGTGACTGTTGAAACTCAGGTCAGAGTCCATGACTAGATATTTAGGAACAGAGCTCGAGAGGAGCATTTCAGCTGAAGGGCCACATATTCAAAAGAAGCAAAGTTCCCATAAGATCATGTCTTCCTGCATTGAAGGGAATCATTGAACAAAATAGCAACTCCACCTCCTTTCTTATGCATTCTTTCCTGACTCATAAAACTAAAGTTGGGAGGGGTTGATTCGATAAGAACAACTGCACTGTTATTTTGTTCAATCCAAGTTTCCATTAAAAACATAAAATCGAGATAGTGCTCAGTGATAAAATCATTGATTAAATATGTTTTTCCTGCCAAAGACCTGACATTTAATAAAGCTAGTTTAAGTTCGTTAAATACACTATCAATCAGATTTTTTGTGACAAGCTGTGGCTGACATGGGATCACTGCTAAATTTGATAAACTCACACAAACGTTTGAGCGCTTCCTGTTTCTAAGCTGATTCACCGCTCTTAATCTATTACCTATCAACACAGATATCGGCAAAGCTACTGGCAGGCAGGGCCCCGGCTTTTCCTGGAAAGAGTTGAGAGTGCCATATGCCCTTGAGCCTGGAGTGGACCCAGCACATATCAGTTAGAGTTTGCTGCGTTTTGTACATACACATGCTTATCAGGCTTCGGAGACAGCAGATGCTGTCTTGAAGGGGGGATGAGGGGGAGGTGGTTGACGTAGGCATGGTGATGAAGCGGGGGAGATGGTGCGCGTCTCTGCTTCGGTTATTGTGGTGGGCGTTGTTGAGGGGCGGGGGTAAAGGACATGCTGCCAACCCTGTGTATCGCCTTCATGCGGTCATTGAACTCCAGGAAGTACCAGGGGTGAGATTAGCCAGAGAGATCTCTTGCAGCTTGATGCTCAGACTCTGAGAGTAAATCCCTGTGATTGAAGTGAACAGGACTGGGACAGGCTGGCCGACACGCTGAAGCCCTCACGATCGCACGCAGCATCTTCAAAAACACACAGAAAGAGATTAGAAATAAGGGTGTTTGCAATGTTTTAGAACATTTTGTTTATATTTTAGAATTCATGGGAGCATTAGAGGCAGCCTTTCCATGGCTGTTTTTCCTCGAAAGTAGATCATGTATAATGACATGTGTGAATGAATTGAGTACTCTCATTGTCTCACTGCAGGAGAGCACGTAGAGCTTCATCAAGAGGATCAAGTAATCAATACTGTATGTGCAGCTTTAACTAAGGCAGACTTTGTTGACAGTTCATGCACATGTCTTTTGATAAAGATACAAAAAATAATATTTAAAGAACACAATTAACTTAAGATATTTTGAATTTGTAAGGTAGTTTTGGCAAAATGTATAGAATATAATGGGGAAGAATATTTAGCTTTTGGTTAAATAAACCAGTGGTGACAACAAAGCATGTTTTTCCCTTTGAGAATGTTTTAATAGCTGGTTCAGCTATAGTTTCTCATCCTTAAAGCTAATTATCCAGAGACCACCATCCACATAATGTCATGTCAGACGAGAGACCCACAAAGAGACATCTAGACATCTTATTCATGTTGCACTCTCTGACCCCTGTCTTAAAGCATCTCAAAACATCTGCTTCAATTACTGAAGATCACATCGTTATCAAAAAGAGTCATTACTGTTTAAATACACATTTATATAACAAAATAAATAATATAAGAGTAAGTGTCTTGCAGAACATAACAGATAAAATGCTTGATTTGAAAACCTGGGCGACTGACATCAAATGAAGGAGATCTGATCCAGGAGCTGTCAAGAGGGTGAGAGGATCAAAGACCAGAGCATGTGCGACATAAAAGTGCAAACATATTTATGATGCTGCTGAGTGGAGGCGTCCTGAAAGCAACCCTTCATTACTGAATCACTAACAATACCACGGCCATACGGTCAGTAGGCATTGTCCTCTCCCCGGCCTTTTCTCTCTCCTTGGTTATATGCTACAATACCCATTCCTGTAAAAACATTTCAACCTCTTCCATGTATTAGTCACTGTGTTAACGTGTCTATAAGGTCTGCAGCGTGTTTGCTTTAGGCAGCAGCAGCAGCAGCATAGTTAACGCTTGAGACGTTCACTTGCATATTCTTAGGTGAATGAACAGCAAATGATCATTATTATTATTGTTAGCATTGCAATTAAATGTTCTCATTGATGATTAACAACATTGATTTTTGTACAGTTATCTTTTTCAATCAACAGATTCACCGATTAGTCTATTAAATATCAGAAAAGTCAAAAATGAACATCACAATTTGTGGTGAGTGTTGATGTCTTCAAATTGTTTTATTTGTCAAACCAATAGTGCAGAAATTAATGTTCAGTTAATTATTATATAGCAAATACAAAAATGGAACGACTAAACCTGAGAATATTTGAGTTTTCATTTGACCTGATCAATTAAGAATGAAGTTGCAAATTTATTATATATCTATCAACCGGTCAATTAAACGTAAAATAGTTTCAGCCATAATAATTACCGTGATGCAAAAATGTCAGAAAGTGAATAACTGTTGGGTGCCAGTTTATGTTTTAAAAGATCACTTTGTGATAGTACATGATTGTTTTTTGGAGTCATTATTGCAAACTCGTGGTTGTGTCTTGTCGCCGAGTTAGTGTATATTGTGTTTGCATATTGAAGCAGAATTTTTTGCCTTCCGTAGGTGGAGGTGATAAACGGCTAAGATAACAATCCAGTAAACATGTGCTCTCATGTTTTGCTGATGTTAAAGAGAGGTCGACTGTTGAAGGGGCCCTTTGTACCAAAGAAGAAGGATTTCTCTGTTATTAACGGTGCGAGACGATGTATTTTAAGTGACCAAAACATCAACAAAATGGAGGCCAACATAAGTTAACAATGCTTCACTATTCTGAAACATGGCTTCATAATTAAAGCTGGGCCTTGCTACTGTCTAACACAACATCTGAGAGTAGATCTAGATTCAGTACCTGGAGGCGGAAGTCCTCTTCACTGCCTCCTTTGTTGTGTAAAGCATCAGTCCATGTCACGAGTGACACAGGACAGGACCACCTGAGACACACTGCATGTGCATCAGCCACATGTTTTCATTAGAGCTGTGAGAAGCTAAACACACTGACTGAAAGACAAAGACATCACACCTGCTCTTCTTATGAGGGGACTGGGCTTATAGGGAACAGTGGTGTTATCTGTTTAAAGTAATGAGGCCTCTTTAAGTACAGGGCACCCTCATTTTGATTCTGCTTGCAGTGGCCTCTAAAGCTCTTTCCACTGATTGTCCTGAGCTTATTAAAAGGATTCACGGTGTTTAAGACAAGAAAACATGCAGACTATTTGTGTTATGTGGACAAAAACCCAGAGGTGCTTACAGTCAGAGGATTTTGAAATGTTTTGATCACTGTACAATGAAGGCTATGCTTAAATCCCGTTAAACCTTGACCTTTTCATAGTCTCAAGGTGTCAACAAACAAGGATTATTGACTGCTTGTGCCAACATGAGTCCACAGTGAATTATCAGGTCTGCATAAAAACTTATATTTGTTTAGAAACACATTGACATATCTTATAAAAACATTTATATTGGATGTGTTATTATCTCATAAAACAAGAATTTCATTTTCTCATTGAAGCTATTTCAGGCCTTAATGTACAATTAAAAAAAATGTCCCTTGTGACGTGAAACCTGCGCTGTTTTTCCATTTGCTGCAGTGGGTGAGATTATTGCCCCCTCCTGTTTCCCTCTGTGGTTAAATAGCAAAGCCCGCTGCTTCGCGGGTACATATCCCACTTTACATAGCGAGGGTTATTCCACCTGCAAGAAATACATAAAAAGGCGACTAACCGAGCATCACTTTAACATGTACTCAAACAAAAACGAAGGACCACGTAGAGGAAGATCTTTTGACTCCATGAACATTGGTTTAGAAGAAAAACTGCTGAACAATGAGGTAAGACCTTCGATAACAAATATATCATGTTTTCGTGCTACCTGAGAAGGTCACATTTCTCGCATGTGACTTTTTTTTTAAGAGGGCGTCTTAATGAATAAGCCTTCACTTTCTCGTCAGCGCAGATTAAGTTAAGCTGTTTTGTTATAGTGGGGTTTGCGTCAAAGGGTTAAGAGGTTTAAAGCTGCAAACCTCCAAACTGCATGACATGAAAGACTGTTTAATGCTCAATATACACCATTCACTGATTTTCACATGAAGGACGGAAGAGATAAAAGATAAATTGCCAACCAGCAGCGCACACGAAAAAGGACGTGACAGGAGACTTACCATTTGAAGGTATACTCACATAAACTTTAAGAACATAGAGTCTGAGACGAAAACACCCAAACGTGTTTAGTTGCGAACTTGTATTGATATTAAACTTTACATGAAATTATGTATTAATTGTTTTTAGGCCTTCGAATTGCATTTGGTCGAAAACGAAATAAGGATAGGAAATAATTGTTTGATTAAACGGCTGTAAGAAGGCTTACTTATGATTACAATTTTGAATAATTACAGGGACTTTGAAAAGACATCCAAAGCTGTCCAGTGATTTAAAAAAAGTAGAGGGACTGTTTAACGATAACGATTTGATAAAACGTCTGTGCGTAAAATCATCTCACTTTGCAGACCTGCGCGCTGCGCTGATTAAATGCTGCCAAATGTCTGGTCAGATCTCAACATGCAGGGGGTTAATAATAGGCTTCCCCGCTGTGTAAATGAGATTAAAGTAAGGCGATTCTTTGAGACAGACAAGCTCATCTTCGTTAAACCGAGACGCAAAGAGTTGACCCTGGAGCGTCCATAATGTTTTCGGCAATACTGACAGGGCTCCACCGAAATCTGGCATGCCGCGCTGTCTACACAATACTCGAACGTCGGAATATGGTAGGCAGCATATTAATGAATTTCAACACTGCTTTTCCAAAAGTCAGCATTATCCGGCTGTGTAGATGTTATATTTGAAGAGCCTAAGATGCGCATTACAGGAATAAAGTCTGTCTGAATAACACGACCAAAGTGAACTAGAACACGGTGAAGTCAATCAAACGTGATTAGTGTATAAGAGCTTTTGGCATTTCACAGTCCTGCGTCTAAAACGTGATACAGGATTACATTGTGCGTAAAGCTATTATGCCTCAACGTGAGATCGCTGTCCAAGGTGTTGACACACACACAGGAGAGGGTGGGGAGCCTCACTAATCTCAACCGTGTGTCTAAGTGTATAATGCATGAATGATACCTGTGTCATTAGTATGATTGTAAAGAAAACAACATGTTTTATTATCAGGGGGACACAATATTTAGATACTTGTGCCGCAGTTCTAGGGATCCCTACTTAATACAGGCTACCTGTTGTGGGTGTTGCATGTCCTTTAAGATGTTCATATTTTATGTTTTGGCTGGCTATAGATGCTCTTAACTAATTTGAAGTTATGGATTCATGTATTCTGTGTTATAATTATTTCCCATTGCAATTAAGTAAGGTAAAAACCAAATAAGGCAACAGTGTACTTCTCTTTAATTGTACTGATGAAGGGTTAACAAAACTATGCAGCAGGGGAGAATGTTATATTTTGTCCATACATTTGTGGGTGTATTCACATATGCACAAAAAATAACCGTTAATTATCAGATGACCAATGTTGGTTGTTAAATGAGGATGATCTCGTGCGGTTACTCAAATGGAAATCTAAGTATTTCATTATTTTTTTCAGATAAACAAATCCACCTTCACAAAAATTGAAGAAAACACTGAAAAAAAGAATACATCAGAGAAAGGGAGAGCTACAATCATCTTTTCCCTCAAGAATGAAGTGGGAGGACTAGTAAAGGCGCTCAAACTCTTCCAGGTGTGGACAAAGTTGTTTCCGGTTCCTTCCTGTGAATTTAAGAATGTATACACTTATTTGGTGTACAGTGTAATAAAGCATAATGTAGATAACTCGAAAATGATTGTCCATGTTTCTTGCAGGAAAACCATGTCAACCTTGTACACATAGAGTCCAGAAAATCCAAAAGACGCAACTCTGAGTTTGAAATCTTTGTGGACTGCGACAGCGACCACGAACAACTGAATGAAATAATCCAGCTGCTTAGTAGCCATGTGAACGTGGTTGATATGAATCCTCCAGATAATTCCTGTATAGAAGAGGAAGGTAAATTAAATCCCGAATATACTGTACTACAAATATGTTACATTAGGCTGTACTATCCGCAAAAAGATACATTTTTATTCTCCCTCTTTTTTCAGATATGTCTAACGTACCTTGGTTTCCTAAGAAGATTTCGGATTTGGACAAGTGTGCAAACCGTGTCCTGATGTACGGTTCTGAGTTGGATGCGGATCATCCGGTATGTCAGCACAATTCAGACAACTGGTTAAATTTAAAAATGCAAACTTCTTACATTTGCAGCATTCTCTTATCCATCTATGTCTCTCCGCAACAGGGTTTTAAGGACAATGTCTACCGGAAAAGGCGAAAGTACTTTGCTGATCTCGCCATGGCCTACAAACAGTGAGTATATCTAGTATATCCTAATGGTTATTGTGAACATCTGTGAAGTTCTTACTTGATACTCATAGAATTATTCTCTATTGTGGCAGTGGGGATCCCATTTCTCGGATTGAGTTCACAGAGGAAGAAGTGAAGACGTGGGGAGTTGTGTACAGGGAGCTCAACAAGTTGTACCCCACCCATGCCTGCCGGGAATACCTGAAGAACCTGCCACTGTTGTCCAAATACTGTGAATTTAGAGAGGACAACATTCCTCAACTGGAAGATGTGTCACGCTTCCTCAAGGGTACGTTTTTTTAAGTTTTGCTTAAAATAATTTAAAATGTAATTTGTATCAATCAATCCACTAATCGTCGCAGCTCAAATGTAGTCACTCACTCGTCTGTGTCATCTTCTCAGAGCGCACTGGATTCACCATCAGGCCTGTGGCTGGTTATCTGTCCCCTCGTGACTTCCTCGCTGGTTTGGCCTTCCGTGTTTTCCACTGTACCCAGTATGTGCGGCACAGCTCCGACCCCTTATACACCCCAGAGCCGTGAGTAACATACTGTACTATATTCTAAAATAAGGGATGTCAATGTTTATAAAAGCCTTTGGTCCTAATAGTTTGTCTTAATGTTTAAGGGACACATGCCATGAGCTGCTGGGTCACGTCCCGCTGCTGGCAGAGCCCAGCTTCGCCCAGTTCTCTCAGGAGATCGGTCTCGCTTCCCTCGGGGCCTCAGATGACTCTGTTCAGAAGCTGGCCACAGTGAGTGACACTGATAAATTCAAATTCAATTTCCTATTCACAAATGTATATAGTCTAATATAATTGTCATATCTGTTTCTGTTTTCTCCACTCTTATGTTACAGTGCTATTTCTTTACGGTGGAGTTTGGCCTATGCAAACAAGAAGGGCAGCTGCGAGCATATGGAGCAGGACTGCTGTCATCTATCAGTGAGCTGAAGGTAAAGCTAGAGTTGTGTTTCGGCAAGAATCTAACAATACGATATCATGATAAAGGGGTTATAATATTTTATAGTTTCGTATTTTGCGTAAACTGCGTGATATATTCTTGTTGTCAAAATTATAAAAGGAAATACACACAACCGTTGAGAAACAATGGAAATGGTACAATGGTTGCAATACCAACACTGTTTTTCTTTTACAGCATGCACTTTCAGGCAAGGCAAGGATAATGCCTTTTGACCCCAAAGTTACATCCAAACAAGAATGCATCATCACAACATTTCAGGATGTGTACTTTGTGTCAGACAGCTTTGAGGAGGCCAAAGTCAAGATGAGGTGAGCTTGGTTTCTCAGTAAGATATAGTACATAATGATGTATCTTACACGGATAGATGTACATTATACAAATATTTCCCTCATATTTTTACATGGATGATGTTTTGTTTTTTTAGGGAGTTTGCCAAGACCATCAAGCGTCCCTTCACAGTCCGATACAACCCTTACACCCAGAGTGTGGATGTGCTGAAGGACACTCCCAGCATCAACAGCGTGGTGGAGGAGCTTCGGCACGAGCTTGACATCGTCGGTGACGCCCTCAGCCGGCTGAACAAGCAGCTGGGAGTCTGACTGCACATATTTTAAAGTGTATGACCTACAGTCCATCAACGCTCACCGTGTCCCCACCCCAAGCACTGCTGTAGAGATACTTCTGTTGTATCGACTTTCCTCAGTACAATGAATGTGTACTGCTTTTGGCAATAAGCTCTGCTGTCCTCACTGCATGGTATATGGCTTATACAATTTACAGAGACACATTAGGTATGTTTGGCTGCTGAAATCAGTAAATTGCACAAACCCAAAGATCTGCTTAACCTGAGAAATTGCTTTGCTTCGGTTTTAAATAGCTCAACAACCGCTTCTGTATTGCAAACAGGCAACGCAACCTTTTAAAACATCCCCAGCTGTGATAAATGCAGTTCAGTCAGAAAACTCACGTGTTTCTTTAACATGTTTATTAGAAGCAGCATAGTTGAGTTTGGCGTCTAGGCTCGGGCCTCATCACTCCACAGATATACATAGCACGATGAGTGATGATTAAATAACTAACCCCCAGAGCCTACAGGTGGAAGCTGGGGTGGAAGCTGGGGTGGTGGTGGGGCAGCAAAGCAGCAGCAAGCAATGCATAGAGAGATATCTGGCAGGTTAAATAGAGCGGCATATTAAGGAGACTCCGTTTGGTTGGTTGTAGAGTGGCAAGGGGCGTTATGTATGAATGCAGCATAAGTGCTCGAGTTGATTGCCTGAACTAGCTCGCAGGCTTCGCCCCATATGTGGTTTCCTCATCCAATTGTTAACTTTGCTGTTGTATAATATCATGTGAATTTTTTGTACTTCTTTCACATTTAACATTTCATCTTCCTCCCTTCAGTGATTTGAATAACATGTACCATGTTTATATTCTTTTGGTTTGTCTATCATGTTTCCATTTGTCTGCTGTTGAGGGAAATGATAAAATGTACCTGGTGTTATAAGAATGTTTTCTTGATCGATTACGACGGACTTGTCCCTTGTTCCAAAACCTATTTCCTTTTACAGTGATGATTTGAAATACCTCCTCTTAAAGTGATTATATTGTAGTACTCCTGAAATCAAAACATTATTTTTGTACTGTAAAGAAATATAGACATTATAAGTGGGATAATTATTGAGACAAATAAATAAATTATATGTGCATCGTGTCTTCAGCGTGTGAAATGGTTTGTTACCTTTTGACTTGGTACTTTTCAATGTCCTCATATTGGTGGTTATGTTATGGATAATGATGGCTGATGATCATCATTGAGATGCAGAATGTCAGCGAGGACGCTGATAGTGATGACAATAGTTCAGGTTATAGTTTGTGTAATCTTAATTAAATGTTGAAAGAATAACATCCCATTGTCGCAAGGGTCTTCTATTCAAAGGGGAGTTTCTATTCAAAATAAAAATAAGATTGGTGATCTATGTCCAGGTTTCCAGGTAATACTTTAGTCTCACAGTTGAAAAATGCTGATAAAATATGTATTTTTAAAAAGAAAACCATGCAAGTTAAAGCAACATGAGAAATAAGACATACAGTTAAGCAGGTTAAAATATAGGTGCAACATTCATTCAATTTTAGCCATAAATATGTATTTTATTATCTGTTCTCTTTTGATATGTTAAACGTCATTGTAAGATATAAATTGTCTTTATTATTTACTATGAAATGAGAAGGAAAACAAATGAGAAACCTATATCTGCAGCATGGTTCACGACAGTGTCGCAAACCATGCAGTATACGGTATTTCTCCATGGAAACGAATTCGAGGACCGAGTTTTGTTTACACTCTTGGGTAAGTGATTTAACTTCACCGTTAAAGGTTTGTTTGATTCAACGTATATTTGATGTATCTAAAATACTCAACGACGACACACTGACATTACATTGGGGGACTTTAACGTAGCACTTTTGCTAACGTTAGCAAACTAGCTCTAACGTACAAGAGCAGTGACAAGGAACAGCCGTTAAGATTCGGTTAACGTTAAGGCAGGAGTACTATCGGTCATATTAACACGGTTATCATAATGTGGTGTCGGTCAGGGAGCCAACAGCTACGGCCAGCTGGGACAGGGACATGTGGACGACCAGCCGGAGCCCCGGTTCTCCGACATCACTACTCTACAACACAAGGCGGTACGGACTCTCACCGGCGGCGGGGGACACTCCGTGGTTATCACCGGTATTTGACCGTTTGCTCCTCAACTGTGCTGTTACTTACTTGCAAGACTGAAACATGTGTTGTGTTGTGTTGAGCAGAGGTGGAAGAAGTACTCAGATCTTGTTCTTAAGTAAAACTATAACTACCAGTGTAGGAATACTCTGTTACAAGTACAATTAATACAATGAAAATGTTACTCAAGTAAAAGTAGAAAAGTATTAGCTTCAAATATACTTAAAGTACCGAGCAAACTGACTGAAACTGCCCTACTGAGATCATGTTAGGCCATGAAATGACATTAAGTGTGATATAATATCAGTGATATACTGTAGTAGGTATTTGTAGCCAAAGGTTAATTTCCAACACCTGTTCACAGGAGGCTTTTAAAAAACAAAAAAATAGTACAGGGAGGTCTAGAGAGGGTAATGTTGTTTCTCTTTCAGACATGAAAACATTACAATTGTGCTTCATTTTCAGATCACTTGGTAGAGATTCCCATAGGTATGCTACTTTAACAGAGAAGAATATGCAATATATTCTGTGTGTTTTTGTGTCGAACAGAGAATGGAGAGGTGTTTGTGTGCGGACAGAATAACAGAGGCCAGCTGGGACTTGGCCACATTGCAGACATCACAACTCTGCAAATCTGCCCCAGCTTGACTCAGAGGGTCTCAAAAGTAGCCTGTGGTTGGGAATTTACAATTTGTCTTACTGGTGAGAACTTTTTTTATTTAAGTATGTGTTGATCTCTTACTTGTGCCATAAGGGTAAGTACGGAAGAGGATTAGGGCCACACAAAAATTATCTTATAATTCTGACTTTTTTCTCAGAATTCTGATTTATGATTTTTGTTTTCATGTGGCGCTAATCCCCTTCCTTAGGTAAGGGCCATATAAGTTTCATGAAAAAAAAACATTAGGCATTACCCAAGTTAAAGATCTAGATATCAGAGCAGCCTTATATGAGTGAGTCTCATGCTGCATTATATAAGAGGGGACCGAGAGAAATAGAAATGCATACAAAGAGATTTATTTTATGTGATAATTTGCAATAGCAAAATCAGATCAGTTGGTAAAATGAACGGTTGGATATTTACAATAATGCAATTAGGTGACAATTTGATATTAAAAAATGTAATGCAAGTAGGTTACAGTAGAGGGCAGTAAGGGGGAACAAGGAACAGTTCTCACAGACCAACAAACTCATCATGCTGCATTCATTTCATAAGAAGGTTACTCTGATTATCAATCTCTCACTTGTAAACACCATTCATGTTAACATCCAGGTTGAAATTATAATTAGGTCATTGTTTTTACAAGCGCTGACATATCCATCTTGGAACTTCTTAATAATACAGACATGCCTGAAAAAGCACAAAATACAGACTTTCATGTCAGCTATCTCCACTTTTTAGGTTAATGCAACCCACATTTTAGGTTTGGAGGGTAATACATTCTGTGTATTACACACACACACACACACACACACACACACACACACACACACACACACACACACACACACACACACACACACACACACACACACACGACTTAAATGCAGCATGAGACTCACATTCCAAGTGATCAGGTTTGTCCAAAAAGCAGCAATAGCTGGAAGGCTCTCATGCACACTAGCTTCACCCCTCCCAGGCACCACTTCAGGGAGTTACCCAGAATCCATAGCAGGGTGTGGTTAAATATGGGTATGAAAGATAAAACCCTAAAACCACCCATCCAAAAATATTGAATATTTCAGTACTTTTTATTTATAAAGATTTTTTTTTTTTTGGTCAAACTGACAGATTCTGGTCGAGTCTTGGCATGTGGCTCCAATGCATTTGGACAACTAGGTGTTGGAAAAACAGTATCACACTCTGCAGATCTACTGGTTGTTGAGGTGAGCATATGAGCAGTATATATTTTACACATTTAAATCACAATATCACCACTTCTTTTGCCATACCATTATTTAATCAATCCTAAATTAGCTCAAATTGCTACAGACTTACTTAACCTTATGATCAGTTACCAAGCAGATGTTGCTGTGCTGTGTGCTTTCAGAGTCTGAAGGATCCAGTAGTGAGTGTAGCAGCAGGACTCAGACATTCATTAGCTGTTACAGGTAAGCTGGCACCAAAACATCACCAGTGTTTTTTATTAAGCAGTCAATCCACACAGCCTAATGTTCTGTTCAACCCTCAGTCTCAGGCTGTGTATATCAGTGGGGAACTGGCCTCTGCAGTCACGCTAAGAGAGCACTCAGCCCCCGGCCTGTCCCCCCCCACCTCAGCTCTACGGTGCCCTCTCTGGTACCAGGTAAGTGGTCTACTGAATATAAATAGTTGATGAAAGGAATATTTTTATGTATTTCAGTGATGATTGATAAATGTGTCTGTTGCAGGTCTGGATCAGAAGAATGTACACATGGTAACTGCTGGCTTAGCGCACTGTGTGTGCCTCACAGGTATGACACCCGAAATGTATACTGCTGTCGATTCACATTTGATTTAATAAGCCTAAGTACAACCTCTTATGGAGAATGATAATTTATTACCTGGGACATTGCAGGAAGGAAGTTTACCCTCCCAACTTGCTGAAGATTGTTGACACAGACAAGAAACAACTTTATATAGCATGTCGTGGTATACAAATAAAGGCTTGATTTGCATTGTGATTTTGATTGTAGGCATTAGGCAGTTAGGCAATGAAGGCAGCAATACATTTTTTACCAAAGACAATAGGAAACCGCACGGTTCAAGTTAAGTTTGAAAGGGTTCTCTGCAGCTCTTCCAGCAGGGAAAACTTTTGATTGATGCATTGGAAGTGTATAATTGTACTTTCTGGACAGAAGCAAGGCTATAATTTAAAAGCAGATATGTAAAGCCTTTTGTGCTGTTCTTCCTCAGAGGGAGCATTCAGAGTTTCAGGTTCTACGATCATGTTGTCCTCGACTTCATGGTCATACATCATGTCTGTCTGTAATTAGTTGAACGGCAACAATCAATTACTGCCTTTCTGTGGCTGCTTCTGCTGAGGAAGAATGATGTTTCTCCTGTCGTGTCTGTGCAGAAGACGGAGATGTGTTTCTGTGGGGAAGCAACAAGCATGGCCAGCTGACCTCCACAGAGCCCTTCCTGTCCTCTCCCACTCTGGTGAAGCGCTCCCTGCTGGGTGGAGAGAAAGTTGTCCTCGTGTGTAGCGGCTGGACACACATTGTTGCTCAAACAGGTTAAACACAATAACAGATATTATGTTTTCAATGTTCACAGGTTTTTATTGAGATTTAACGGACAGTTGCCATATCTGAACAATGTCCCTATTCATTTCAGAGAGCAGGAGAGTGTACACATGGGGCAGAGGAGATTATGGACAGCTGGGCAGACAAACCTGTCACCACGCAGAGCGGCAGAAGACTGGTCCTTCAGCAGGAAGTGGGAACACTGTGGTGAGCCTCCCTGCAGAGGTTAAAGTCCTCTGTGGAGCAACACAGGTACAATTGATCACTATTTTTCACCTCTAAGTCACCTATGTGGGCTGGTAAGAAACATGTTCGAGTTTATGAATGTTATTACAATGAATGTAACAATGACTCAACACCATGGGTCGACTACTCCATTTATAAAATAGTACTAATTGTTCATAATGTACAATGTACAGCGGTGTGACTTGAATACTTTAGTCAAGTTCTTACCCTTAAGAACTAATATTGCACTTGAGTATTTAAAGTTTCCGATGCTTTATATTTGCCAATATTATACTTTTTTACTCATTTATGTGACAGCTTAAAAAAACAAGAATGATCCTATGAAATAAAACCCACTGTTATAAAGCTAATTAAGCCCCCTAGTGGTATATCAAATGAGTAAAGTTACTTCTGTCTGCTACATCATTGAAATGCTGCTTGCATCAATAACAATAATAACCAAATATTGTAACATAAAAATGTAACAATAGGTATGAGTAGGCCTACTGTTACTTCTAAACATTTATCCCATACACGTATACTAGTTCTTTCAATGGAGGGCTTTAACTGGGAACATTTTAAATGGTTGTATTTATACATTTACTTAAGAAATAAATATCTTCATAATTATTTCACCTGCATATGTTTATTCTAATCAGGTTTGAAGATATACTGTGTTGGATCCTATTGTTATTGCCATCACACGCGTGGTGTATAAAATAAGTGATTCCGTCCAGCAGGGGGCAACAGAGGCCCACAAACAAAGCTGAGGGTTGTTTTTAGTTGAAAAACAGTCTTGAGTGAATGGGAGCCAAGCCCACTGAGAAAAGCTTCCTAATGTTTTGCATCTCTACATCTATCGTGTAAAGCACTCACACATATACAAAGTACCACTTACATTTAGGGAAGGCGGAGATCTCTTCTCCCACGAGGGCAATTATACGAAAGCATCTTGGGATTGCAGCAGTTTAGCTGAAGCCTAAATGGCAGCTATATTGTTGGAGATTGTTTCCTAAGTGGATGTCAGGGAGCATCTCTGGATCATTTCTTCAATGCACACATGATGCAGCAGCACAGGCGATGTCGAGGCGTAGTCACCTCGCGTGTAAAGCTAAAGGCAAGATGGATTAGCCGCTGGGATTATGAATCTTTCAGTCCAGCGTACAGTGTTGGTCCTCATAACACCGTCTTTACACACCCACTGAGTCAATATTTATTAAACTGTCACGTTTTAATGAAGCCAATGAACACTATTGGAGTTACAAATTAAAACCTGTCAGGGGTCCAGGACTCAATGGATTTGTTTTAATGTATGGCTTGCTACAGCTTTATGCTTGATCAAAGACATTGCTTCATCATAGCAGCTTTAAACTGCATTAGCAATGATATATACTCAATTCAGTGAACTTGTATTGCTAGTAACAATGTTTTATCAATCTAAACTGGAATCTAGAGAGCGCCCTCTCATGTTTCAGGATCATTATTTAATAGTGTGCTCTTAAGAAGGACTGGAATAAATGCCTTGAAGACTGTTGCATTACTAGTGCAGGTTATTCTAGCTTTTATGAATGATCCAGGTTTTCTGTCATAGTTTCTGCCCTGCTCTCTGAGAATGCTGTGTGGGGCTTTTATTTACAGAATCTTTTTTTACCCATGTAATTTGCGTTTCCATGCAGTTCTGAATAAAAGTTGGAAGCCTACTTTTTTGTTTAAACATGGAATTTTATTTCGGTTTTGGAGAACATTTGGTTACAAAGCATCTCAGTATCCATGGTGGTAAAGTATTTTGTGAATATAACAATTGTAAAATTGTCTGCTTTTATCTTACATTTTATACAGTTAAAATATTTTTCTCCACAGATTGCGTGTGGATCTGAACATAATCTTGCCATTTTAGGTGAGTGTTTCAAAACAAAAATATCCACACTATTTATTGGCTTTTCTTTTGTATGTTCTTTTCAAAATGTGCTCTATTCTCCTGTATCAGAACCTGTCATCTTGCTAGAAACAATATAAGAATAAACATGACAACTGTACTCGAAAAATAAATGAGGGCATCACTCTGAGGAATTAAAGCAGAATTCTTTAAACATACAGTATTGTTTTCAGGATGTGCAAGTGCCTTACACAAGACACTCCACTTTTGTCCTTACATGACTCTGGCTCCTACTAAATAAAAGAGAAGGGAATACATATTGACTCAAAGGCTGAGTAAGGGAACTGTCTACTTTACAGTTAGACATGTGTGAAATATTAATCCTTCTGCTAATGCTGCGGAGGATTTCTGAGGTCAGCTCATTGCTCTGTGGCCTTTGCATCAGGAAGTAATTACAGCATGGATAGATGGGTATCATTGACCGAGGCAATTACCCGCACAGGCCTGCAAAAGAGCTGAATTCCCCGCAAACATTTACAGGCATGTTTTTCCAGTTCCAGAGTTTTTGGAGAGCGATCTCCCTTTGTCTACATGAGAACAGAACATAGACATCACAGCTGCTCAAATCCCTTAAATAATACTAAACAAACACAGATGTATATTGGGCTTCCTCTTCCGATTTAAAAATAGATTCAATTAGTTTTGCGTGCTTTACAGGGTTGCCCAAAGTCTACCGCTTTTCCATAGTCAGCGACAATCACCAAAAATCTTTTGGAAGTAAAATCTTTTTTCCATAAAATGTTAAACACTGACCCACTTTTTTACATCAGCCTGAGTATAAGTACCGCAGACGAACACGAAAACACAGGCACTAGGTTCCATTTAAGAGGAAACTCCTGACATTGTTGGTATTGCTGCAGTCAAAGCCACACTTGAAATATTTTGACCAATTAGAAGGGTTAATTGGAAATTCTTTATGCTGAGTGTCAGTCATTATGGCAGTTCTTACAAAGCATTGCTCCGTGCGTTCAAAAGTTCAGTGATGTGATGAGAAAGCAGGGCTCCTGTGAACCTCCTCCTCTGTGCCGGGCTCTTCTCTCCTCCTCTCCTCCTCTCCTCTCCTCCTCTCCTCCTGTCTGGAGCGTGGCGGCAGGAGCAATGAAATGGCAAAAAAGGATTGGAAGCAGAGACCTGAGTGCTGCTATTTCTGGTCCTGATGTAGGTCAGGCGGAAAGGAACGGAGAGCATTGCATGCTGCTCATGATATCTGCTGCCTGCTCAGCCCTTGCCCATTTTCACCTGAGCAAGTGCTCCTCATGTATGAAATTCATCATCGTGGTCAGACGTGGGAGTAAGGCCACAGCTCATCCAATCTGAGGAAAGATTTGTTTGTTATGTGAACATTTTGAACTTAACATGAATGTTAGATCAGACCCTGTTCAAACTCAAGTGTTGTATGATGTAATCCCTGCAGATATTGTTACGATGTTATCGCTAGTTCGGAGGTGAGATTTATTAATAGTTGAATATAAAACCAAAAGACATGATTTGTTTACAAGGAAATGTCTTTTGGCTCTAGTGTCTTGTTTTTAATCCTTTTGTTGTGCCGAATATTGTGCAGCACTTAGTTGCCATGGAAACACCAATGTGTTTTACTCCAGTCACTGAGTCCATGAATTAAGCACGGCACCAAAATAAGGCTTTCCCCCAGTGAAGCAAACATATCAACACACTTTGCTCACCAGCTAATGGATGTTTACTGAGCAACCTTAATCAAAGATGGAGACATAGGGAGTACACTTATAAATAGATACAGTGGCTTCTGTTTGTTATGTACAAGCCATTACTGGTAGATTGTCACCCTGACACTAATTGCTGGCAAGATGTCAAGGAAAGCATTTGTTACATGGAGAATCCAAATCTTTGAAGCCCCTGAGAGACGAGCTAAAAAACGCAGAGAGACAAAGAAACCCCACGATGAAAGAAATGAGAAGAAGGCATGAAAGACACACAACTGCAGGACAGGGAAAGCTTGAAGATGTGTTACCCTTGAGAAAGCAAGCTCGCTTCAGTTGCCATGGCAATGGAGCCTATTAGGTAACTGTGTTGCCATGGCACGTGTCTCCTCGGTGATGCAGACTTGACCACACCCACCAACAAGCTCACCAGCTGTGAAGAGCAGTGAGGCTTTGTGCTGGCTGAGTGTCAGTGTTGGGGACAAAAAGGTGTGTGTGTGTGTGTGTGTGTGTGTGTGTGTGTGTGTGTGTGTGTGTGTGTGTGTGTGTGTGTGTGTGTGTGTGTGTGTGTGTGTGTGTGTGTGTGTGTGTGTGTGTGTACACACACACACACACACACACACACACACACACACACACACACACACACNCCTTGTTGCACTTCAAATGTTTTGTTCACAGATTAAATATTATTCAGCGGTTAAATTAATGATATTCACCAAAAAAAATGTCGATATTTGAGAGCTAAAGCCTTTTTAAATGACATTTTCAATGAAAATTACTTGAAAAAATGTTGGTTTGGGGATTACTTTAGTCATATGGTGCACCCTATAGTGTATGAGCCTTTGTCTTTGATTGTGACACAAAGATGGGATGGCTATTTTTAGGAGTTTAAATAGGTTTTTGATGACCTTGAGATGACCTTGTCGAAGCTTGAATGAAGACCACGGATCCAACACCATCATGCATACCATCTACGCTACACAGCGTGGGGATGATTCTTATTGTAACCACCTTAACTACATGAGTTAAAGGTACCATCACAAAGCAATACTTTAGCAATAATAACACCGCTAATGCTTCAGCATACGAAACATAGAGTTAACTGTTAAATTACAAGCGAAAACACAGACAGCTCATCACAGAGGGGTCAACAACATCGATCCAGCAGGCAACGAGGCCAAGGATGGAGAGTAAGCAAATGCGTCCCGTTGCCGGGCAAAGAATAAACGGCCTCCGCCCACTTTTGCAGAGGGACAATGCTGTCCAGTTGAACGGCGGCAATACAAATTTCTGCAAGCTTTTTTGCCAATCCGATCAGAAATGGTAAGAAAACCGTAGATTTTTGGGATCTTGAAAGAGGGCGCCGGGAGATGTCCAGCATGGCCAGCACAGGGCGAAACCATTGCATTAGCCCATTAGATAAATAGACGATCGGGCCTCGGATATTATGGTTAAATTATAGCAGTAGCGCTTCGATTTTCATAGATGAGAGGTAAGCATCTACGTCACTTTACGGGGCCCCGCCCATATTTGGGCGGAAAACAACGGCTGTCATTTGAATGGCGCGATCGAGCCTGAAGCACAGAGTCTTCTGCTTACTGTCCTTCTCTTAGAGGAAGTACAAAACACGGTAACTCTGGATTTTGTTTAATGTTGAAGGTGCAATAACGACCAGCCAGCTTTTTGGCATGATACAACTATTATGTTCCGCCTTACCTCAATGGAGAGTAACAGCTGGAGAAATTACAGCCTCGCCTGAGCTGGTTTTATTGTAACCATATATCAAGACCGATTGCTCGATTGACCAATGATCGAATGTAATTGTTTGCCTGGACTGGCCATCGGTAATCGAGCTCTTGAAGATCCAAGAAATCCACGGTTTTATTTTCAAAAAAATCTTGATCGGGCATGGCAAAAACTTCAGAATTTTGTATTGACCGCCATTCAAATGACAACGTTGTTTTCCCCAAAAAGTGGGCGGGGCCGTAATTTTTGCCCGGAAGTGACGTAGGTGTTTCTCTCATCTATAGGCAAAAGACAGACGATCAACAAAATATGACATAAAATTAACTGACACTTAGGCGGGGGTTCATGTATTGAAGTCAATGGCGAGAGAAAGATTATCTTTCGATCCCATTTGAATTGTGCCATGAATTACACATAAGATGTTTGTCAATTTAAAAGATAATTTTGCAAGTAGAAAAAAAAATATGGTTGTAAAACTGTGAAGTAACACTTTTTTTTGTTGTGAAACCGCTCAATGAACTACATCTCTGGTCTCGCACAACACACGTCACCAACACCAAGCTGGCCGTCACGTTAGCACATTTCACCTCCTTCTTTCAGAATGAGGCGAAAAGTATTAAACGAGGAGAAAATCACTACAAGTCTGGGCATGTTGAGAGCTATAAACACAAAAGGGGAGTTAGTCGGTTCCGTAAGAGCCGAGGTGATTGTTATAAACGAGTGTAATGTGTAACGTTAATGTCAGCTAGCTAACATTAGCTAACCAGGTACACTCCTCTGTTTTGTTTGAGCAACTGGTTTTCTCGTTAAGAACTGCGTGATCGCTGTGTATGCTTTGGATAACATTAGTGTTGGCAAGGACAAGGTACACAGAAAACTAGTTGCTAAAACAAAACACAGGAGTGTACCTTGTTAGCTAATGTTAGCTAGCTGACATTAACGTTACACATTACACTCGTTTAACACTCACAGAAACCTTGTACAGCCGGTCCCGTCCCACATGCTGGCTCATACGGAACCGACTAACTCCCCTTTTGTGTAATAGCAGCTCTCAACATGCCCAAACGTGTAATGATTTCCACCTCCTTTAATACTTTTCACCTCATTCTGGTGTTGGTGACGTGTATTGTAAGACACCAGAGATGTAGTTCATTGAGCGGTTTCACAAACAAATAAGTTTAACTTCACAGTTTTACGACAAACTGTGACATTTTTTACTTGGAAAATATTTTTTTAAGATTGACAAACAATCCAAACACAATTCGAACGGGATCGAAACTTAACTTTTCTCTCGCCATTGACTTCAATACATAATTTTTCCGAAATAAGGTCCCATGGAGGTCCACCGGAAAGGGAGGGACTTCCAAATATGTATAAAAGTGAAATACGAACATAAATATTTTTATTCAAAAGAATTGCTGAACTGAATCAAAATAATATTCAACCTGAAAAAATATTTCAAATACTTATTTTCATTTTGAATACATCATTGTATTTTTCAAAGTTCAGAATAAAAACTTGAACTTTCAAATACATTTTTTTTGAATGATCAAAACTTATGACCCTGATATAGCTCCATACTTTACACCTTCTGACTTTTTGTTTGTTTTTTAGGCCACTGGCCCCTACAAAGACCGCTGTGCTGCCTGCTGGTTTAACAGATGTAGCACTGATATGTGTAATTAGTTACTGGGCCCCATCCAGCAGGTGTAAACTATTGACATGTTCTCACTAAAGAAAGCATTAGTGAAAGCAGTAAAATCAACACGCACACTTTTCCAGTGTGCATGGAGGGACATTTCCCGAAGCTGAATACTCCCCTGATGTGTTCCACATTTAGCAGTGAGCAATACAAAGCAGAGCGAAGATTGACAGAGCTCCACCAAGACAGGCAAGAAGATTAATTATAAGTGAGCCCCAGAGTTAATTACAGACTCTATTCACAGTGGATACATCAGTGGAAAACCCTTTCCCTGCATATCACTGTAGGCCAGTGGGTTGCCGGCAACAGTGAGAATTATCCAATAAGAAACAAACAAATCCTCTGCCTGTCACCCTCCCTCCAGGCCAGACTGTTGCTATCTGTCACAAAGAGACATCATTTACTGGAAGAGGCGATCTCGTAAGATGCACGTTTGTTTAACAGTTTGAAGAGTGGGATGTTCAGAGCCAGTCAGGTGTCAGGAGGCTCGACATATACGAGGCTTTATCACACTGCTGGCAGCAAGGGTGATGTTTGTTTTCCAGTTCCCCTGCTAATTGATGTAAATAGGCTGGAAAAATAAAATACCAAGAGCACTAATCTATTATTTATTTCAAAATGTCATGTTGACTTATTTAAATAGCTTGATTCGTCAGTCTAAAAACAAAATAGATTCAGTTTACAGTCATTGAAAACTAGTAGACCAACAATAATTGTTAATTTAGAAGGTAGAGACAGTTGATTTTGGGGCATTTTTGCAACTATTATCAAAGTTGTTGCCAATTTTTTTTTTTTGCAATTACAAAACAATGAACCATCAATGGATTATCATATCAAATCTTCTGTCAGTATACATAACATTTATGTTAAGGCATTGGCAGGGCTATATTAAATCAATAGGAAAGGAGCTGTGTTATTAACCTTTTGATGTGACTTAGTTAAACTTATTTAGGAGTATGATCTATTTACATTTAGATAGATTAGTAGACAATAAACCTGCAGCTTTCATGGGCCAGGCACAGTTACCCACTTTGCTCAGCTGGTAATATAGCCATTGATTTAGTTACATGTAGTTTTCCAATGTGGTTGAATTTGATTGTATTATAGTCTAGAACGTGTTATTTTGGACAGTACATGTTATAGAGGGGGTGGACAAAACAACAATATTATGCAATCCAATAAAACACTAGATACACTGTACTCATGCCTCTTTCTCTCTCACTGTACCAACACAAATGGAATATCTTTAACTTGATAAAGGAACAGCTTTAAAAAATTTAAAAATGTATCCGATTGCATTGAAATGTTAAATGTCCACATTATCTATCTGTACTGTATGTTTAAAAGTCGGACATTTTGTATCGAATTCAAAGAGGATTTAACGAGTCATTCACATGCCATACTCTAAATTGCAACAAGTCTCCTTCTCAGTCTAAACTGCGTCCTCTTTGCTCAGCGTGAGTCGTCTCTCTGAACAGTGAGGACAGCCCTGCTTACAGAACAGAAGTCAGTCAGTCAGTGTGCTGCAGCCTCTGCTAACACACAGCCTCTCTGCAGACCACCATGCGAACACGGATGGGAAGCAGACATTCTTAAGCAGCAGACATTTCCTCAGCACAATGCGATGAATGGCCAGTGATGAGATGTTATGATGAGGCCTGTTTTATATCTGGTGCTGCCTGCCTGCCTTGGTGAAACGCTGTGAATGGACTTGACTAAGACGCTGTGCTTCCTTTACTCAGTGGAATTCATGTTAGACGTCCTTGTGCACAGACAACAAACCTCCTGATAATACTCCTCCCTGCTATTAACAAGGCAGTGCATTAGTTTGAGCAGAATCGTCCTTCTCTTATGAAGACATCTTCATGCATCTAAAAGCTGATATTGATCAAATTGTTTTATTTAAAAGGATAATTAATAAGCTCAATTGACCTCCGATTATGATATCCCAAAACTTCTGATCATATACCTTGGAATCGATATTGCCACAATATTGTAGGGTTGACTGTTGGTGCTTTCACAAAAATAATTACCCAATCATTTATGGATAAATAATCATATGCAAGGTGGATGTATTGACCTAGTGGGTAAAGACCAATAATAGAACAGCTAAAACAGTCTGGTAAATTCTGAAAATAACATAACTTAACTTTAAAACAGGGAAGAGATACTTTTGCAATATTACAATATCATAATATCATAATTTCAAAGATGATATCTCGTCTCAAATCATGATTTTGATATATATCTGTATGTTGCCAGCCCTATAAGCCCTACGTTTTTTTTACATTACAACTTCAGCAAACACAGTTGAAGCAGTGCAGTTTGAGGGAGCAGGATAACATGAGGGTAGCAATCAATACCCAGGAGAGAATACTGTATCTGTTACACCCATGTAGTTTGCATCAGACATATCAGAGCCTAAATATGATGAAATGTGATCATCCAATCAATACATAATTAAAGCTAAAGTACACGTTTTCCATTCAGGGACATTTCTCATACAAGGTTCTCATCAGCTCAGCAAGCCTCTCAGCTCACCACATGTCCCAAGAGTTGATCACCCGGATTGTATGACCTTGTGTAGGGAAAACCTTCTGTAATGAAGGGAAGAGCCCCAGCTAAATGTAGTCATGTGGGTTAATGACTCTTCCTGCTGCTGCTGGCTCTTTGTAATTCTAATGTGGCAACCCCTTGAAAATGCCATGACCTTGAGGTACAGCAGAGGGATGAGAAGCAAGAGCATGCATTGATTGTCCCTTTTACAATGACATTTCTCAATCAACACGCATAGAGTCGCAAAGAGAGGGAGTTGGGATTGAGAGAGTGTTTGGATGTCGCAGTCACTGTCAGACGGCATTGTCTCGGATAATAGATTGAATTGCATTGTGTTGTGCTAAGAATGGCTGCAAGGCGTTCAGCTTGATTACATTGCATGAATTACTGTGCTCCTCTGTCCTTCTTCCCCCTCCCTACCTTCTTCCTCTTACCTCCCCTCTATCTCTCCCCCATGTCCTGCTCAGTGGGTGGCACTGGCCTCGCTCTTCTTTATTCTGGTGTCCATCACCACCTTCTGTCTGGAGACCCACGAGGCCTTCAACGTCATCATCAACCGCACAGAGGAGGAGGTGGTGGACAACGTGACAGTGGTGCGCACATACCAGGAGACTGAGACTGCGCTCTACCTCACCTACATCGAAGGCGTCTGTGTGGTGTGGTTCACTTTTGAATTTCTAATGAGAATAACTTTCTGTCCAAATAAATGTGACTTCATTCGGAACGCCCTGAACATCATCGACTTTGTGGCCATCCTGCCCTTCTACCTGGAGGTCGGCCTCAGCGGGCTCTCCTCCCAGGCAGCTAAGGACGTGCTAGGTTTCCTGAGAGTTGTCCGATTCGTTCGGATCCTGCGTATCTTCAAGCTGACGCGTCACTTTGTAGGACTGAGGGTGCTGGGCCACACGTTGAGAGCCAGCACCAACGAGTTCCTGCTCCTCATCATCTTCCTCGCCCTCGGTGTCCTCATCTTTGCTACTATGATCTACTACGCTGAACGGATTGGAGCTAACCCCAACGACCCTCGAGCCAGTGAGCACACGCACTTCAAGAACATCCCGATCGGATTCTGGTGGGCTGTGGTGACCATGACGACCCTGGGCTATGGCGATATGTACCCTCAGACGACCTCCGGTATGCTGGTCGGAGCCCTGTGCGCCTTGTCGGGCGTGCTGACCATCGCCATGCCCGTCCCTGTGATTGTCAACAACTTTGGAATGTATTACTCTCTGGCCATGGCAAAACAGAAACTACCAAAGAAGAAGAACCGGCATATCCGTGCCCCACAACCAGGTTCTCCAAACTTCTGTAAGTCAAGTGCCAGCTCCCTACAACCGAGCCCAATACCCCATGACGACGTTTTCGAGATAAAGTTTCAAGGTAAGAAAACATATAATTATGCATTCTATGTTGTCTCATCACTCCTCTTGATGCAGCCACATCACCACTCAGCTGTTTCATTGTTTAGCGTTTATCCCACGCTTCAATCAGCTGATGATTCAAGCATGAGATTAAAGAAATGAGTTTCCCACAGAAAACAATTAACAAAATATGTGATGAAAACAAGTTTTATTTTGGATAGAGAATAGAGAGATTGAGGCAGACCGTGAGCAATCTTGATATTCATTTTTGCAATTATTAAAACATTGATTCACTCCTCCTGTCGTTAAAGACTAACTAAGGGTCTGTAATCACCATGTACTTGTAATGTCAAGAACATGCAAGTAGACGCAGGAGTCACTTGAATTCCTCTTGAATTACTCTTGAATTCCTCAAGATAAATTGACCTTTGATACAAATGATGCTAAAAAAACATGTAAAACCAGAAGAGTGCTCAGAAGAATGCAGTCATCCACCAAGGGCACATGCCCAATCTTGCAATGTTAACAGATTCGGATCTGCTCTGATATTGAATGGGTTGTTCCCTTGCCAGTTTCATATAAATCAGGCGAGTATCTTTTCAGTATTTCGTGCTAAGAAACAAATAAATAAAATGAAAACACAGCCTCATGGTGAACAGCAGAGAGGCAAACATTAGACAACAGCTGATGTATGTAGTAGGAGTAATCACGTATTCCAACCCGATTTTTCTTCTTAAATTGTTTTCTTCTAAGATTCAAAGTTGAACGGAGAGGCAGCCAAAGCAGCGCTGGCTAATGAAGATTGCCCTCATATAGACCAGGCCACATCTCCGGAGGAAGTCTTCAGCCCCAGCGAGAGGGAGCGGCCCTGCTTCTTGGTCACCACTGCTGAACGCCCCAACCACACAGGGGGCAGAGTGAGGAGGGGTACGTACAGTAACAGCCAATCACAGGCCCCTGTAAGACACTGACACCCTGTAGACCGTAGACAGGACACGCTCTTTTTTTCTCTCTTTGCTGAGTGTTACGCCTCAGTTTTCCACACACACACAAACAAACACAACAACAAACCTCTTATTACACGCTTTCACAGCAGCTGCTTCTCTTCTATCATCCCTTTGGGAACTGTATATATATTCAGTGTCACACTAACATCGGTTAAGGCCAAGCACAATCATCACATCTACATATTATATTTTTTGATACCATACATAATGTAATACCCTTATTTATTTACAAGTAAGAAAGCTATTTTCGAGATTTATACGATTTAGAATGTGTTGTCTTATAAGACAGTATTTATGTGCTACGTGAGTGCCATGTATGCAAATGTATTTAATGATTAATATCCATGCAGGATCCTGAATTATGAATACATTGCTCTTGACCATAAGGGTGCATGAAGTGTCTTGCTGATGGGTGCTATCAGTATGGTGAAGGAGCACAACACAAATAGATATTGTCAAATGTTATTATTTATGTTATTAAAACCCACATTCTAATTTACGATTTAATACTTATGTTAAACCTTTTGTACTTAATGTAATACTGCTAATCTTCAAAAACATTCCTCTCACTCACGTGAGTCCAACCAGCACATCAATAGTACATGGCGTGCAGTTTGAAATTCTACCTGTAGCTGAGAATACATTCTCTACCTGAGGTGCCTACCTTTTTAGAGTCTGTTATGGTGTTATACTCCGATCCATTCCAGTACCACCCGGTGCATGCTGTACTCCTGATGCTCTCAATGCATGGAGAATAATAATCTGTCGCAAGTCTGTGTTGACCTGTTTCTTTGGAGACAAAAACAAGAAAGCAACAGGTGTAGTATAACCAGTGAGGAGCAACCAAAACAGTGTCATGGATTCAGTGCTGAAGTGTACTCAGAACGTTCTCTGTTTTTCAACTAAAGGTTATGAAAAGCCTTGGAGCCTTAACAGCATGTCTGGCATGAGCGGGGACGCCTCTGGAGTGTCCTCAGTGTCCGCCCTGCCCTGCAGCCCACCCTGTCTAATGCAGCACTCACATTCTCCCATCCCATCCATTATGTAGCATGGTTGAGTAGCAGACACAATGACATTGGAAGGCCAGTCAACACTCCTCCTTATCTTACCTGTCAAATTTTGCTTTTACACTTGCCTTCACTCTTGTTTTTTTCCATTTTTATTTCATTGTTTTTCTGGAAAACTGTACCTTAACTGTGTCTAATACTCAGCGTTCCCAAGTGTTCTCCTTGGGTGTGTCATCCTATCCTAGACTAGAAAACATTGGCACATGCCACACTGCATGGGTCACCTCACTTGTAGACAAAGCACTGTTCTACTTCTACCACAGGCTACACTCTTTCCCTGTGTTTACATCATTGCCTGTTGCTCTGTTGCTTTTGATCTCACTCTTTTGCCAATAACTTCTATCATCTGCTTTTTACAACTTTGTGAAAGAGTCTTTCATAAGATGTAACCCATGCTAATAATATGCTGGACATTAACAATACATGGCTCTGAAACATATCCAAAAGATCCCACTGCCAGCTGTTAAGGGACCTTCTCTTAAGTGCTTTGTACGTTGCAAAGTAGAGACGTTATCATTCTGAAAGTGCAAACCAGACAAAGCTCAATGTTATCCGCGAAAAAAAAACAGTCAAAATGATGCTCATGGTGTCCAATGCAATATGGAGATGATGACGATTCCTATCATAGTAGTGAATAATAAGTTTAATGTTAACAGAACTTTTGTTCATTTGCATGAACTGCATGAGAAATTATGTTCAACAAGAAGCTAACTGTATCGCAGTACCTGTAAGAAAAAAAAAGCTTTTTTCTTTCAAAGGCTTCTAAAGCTTTGTCGTTTGTTAAGCATTTTGAGACAGCTTTACAAGAGACTCAGTCATAGCAGAGATTTTTATGTAGCTGCCATTCTTTGCCTTTCCCTAAATTCATATTTTTTTGCATTCATTTGGCTGGGGCCTCCAACTAAACTAGCATAATTTGACTTGAACAATCTGTTATAAAACCAACAAATGCTGTTATGAGCATAAATAGTTTTTATACAAATATATTTACTGATAGTTATTAGTTTTTAAACAGTATCCGTAGTCTGCAGCAACTTCTATTACTGCTGTGATGCCTAAATTAAGGCATTTAAAACAATGGTGCCTTTATACCTGGTGAGGCAAAGTAAAAGTGAGTTATTATTGACATGATGTAACATAAGTCCTCTCAGTGTAGCATCAATACACTTTATATCATGCTCATAACAGTGTCAGGTAAGCTTTATTTACAAGGTGCACTTTTTACACCATCCTCGTACCTTAAATCAAAGCAAACTGGTTATTATCGTAACACAACTCCACAAACACTAGGATTTAACCCTAAGGGGTAAACATAGCTCCAAGCATAAATAAATAAATGAAAATACTAATTTTATATTCCTCATATCAAGATGTTTGTATGATAAAGCACAAATTGTTTACAAAAAAAGGGACAAAGCTGTTCTACAGAGCAAAAATATATCGAGTTACAAGATGACACACTGGCTTCGGCAGTATCTATTTCTATTGATTTAAAACGTCAATACTGTTTTTGTCCCAAAAGAAGTATGCACAATTATTTTAGGGCACTTTAAAAGAAAAAAATGATCAGAAGTGTTCGTTTCTAGAAGAAGATATAAGTACTGCAACTCATTGAGGTCTTGTTTTTATTCTGAGAGAGCAGAGTTTTACTTTTTGAGTCATGTCTCTTGTGGTAATTAGTGGACGTTATATATTTAAGAGAAAAAAACCTTGTGAAGATCTGATGTGAAGATGGAGATGAATTCTATTCTCATGCAATTCAAGTGGGGGGAAAAAAGTGCAATGCGACACAGCATGGGATGTGGGTCTACTTGGGGAAAGGTACATGCATGTATTTTCCATTTATGCAACAGAAAAGTATTAAAATAAAATATGTAAATATAAGTCCTTGCATGAAATAAATTTTATACACAACTAGCGCTTAGACTCCGTTTTTATTCACCAGCACATGCATACTGTACATACATCTTTCCTTTCCCACTGGCTTACAGTTAATACTTTGAACTGTTGTTCGACCCTCTGTTTACCTGTGTCGGGGTCAAAGAGAGTGTACAAAAACGAGGGGACTGTGAGAGCATGACACAAACGCATGACAATGACCGAACAACTGTACATCAACTTGTAACACGCAGCATGACCGGGCATGTTTATTAACCGACTCAGAGTGTGACCTCTGCACACAAACAGTACACCGTTGTCTGATGCCTTGGCTACGCATGGGAAAAACATGGTAAACCGGACGTTTACCATGAGGAACTAACGGAGCACATTTTCTTTACTCTCCAAGCTAGTGTCATGTCTCGCCTCTCGCAGAGGTATTCATCATCGCCATCATTTCCACCATTATACATCATTTGTGTAATAATTTATTTATGTTATTGTTTTTTATATGTTTATAGAGACCCAGCGACAGCACCGGAGCAGACGACCAACAGAGTCAGTTTGTGTTATGAACCATGGTGTCCCAACCACTATGTGTATGACCCATAATGGCCGATCACCCACCTGATAGTGCTGTAGCATTGTTGTGTGTATTACTTAGTCTTTTTAAATGGATGTGACAGTGACAACCTGTACATCACAAAACTCAGCATAGATGTAGCACTGAGGACGTTTTGTTGTCAAGCCTTATGTAGCTCAGTATCTTTGACTGGTTACTGTGTTGTAATTTGTGTGCCTATTTTCGGTTTGTGCCTGTGCTGTAAATACGCTTTTTTGTGTGCTAAAGTTGTGTGTACCAATGTTTTTGAGTGATCATCAAATATCTGTGTGCTTCTTCTGTTGAAAGAAAAAAAAATGTTGCTCCGATTTTACTCACCCAGCAAAAAAAGACAAAAAACACGTGTCATGTCAGCCAGACAAAACAGTAGAAAACCAGTCGTTAACTTTGCACCGTCATCATCACATCTTTTTAGACTTTTGCACCGTTTTGCACTAGTACACTTTTAACAATCCTTTGATAGGTTTTGCGGCATCAAAGAGATCACATCCACAAAAGAGGTCCTACTTTAAACACCACCACTCTTACCTTGTATTTAAGAGGCATTCAAATGGAAAAGTGTGCATTTAGGAATGGGTAATGAATTGCTTAGTTTATCAGAACGTATAAAGGGTTATCAGAAAGGAATAGTGTATTTTTAACATTCATTAAACGTTGTTTTTTTTCACACTTTGATTAACAAAGATAGCTCATATGTAAATGACATGAACTCATATCTCAGCTCAGACATTCATTATTCTGTAGTTCATTTGAATATTAATTGACATTCATGTAGAATTGGTTTTATACTTTTTCTGCACACATGCAAATTGGTTAGTATGAAATGCAAACCAATGCCAGAACATTACACACATACTGGACAAGTGCCTCTGTTATGCAAATTCTTCTAACTGTTCACCATGTTCACAATTAAAGTATATTTAATTCGACATTACTCACCAGCCACCAGCCATTGAAACCACACATCAGTTCATTACTCAACAAGCACAAAGATACAATACGTACCCCCATACGCATCAGCTTCTAAAAGCAAGCATTGAGCATACCTAATTAAAAAAGAAAGGAGAGCCATGCAGTTTAAAGTAGAGCTTAATAGTTTGTGTGTAAAAGTTAGTGAAGAGGGACCAACTTTTTACCAAACAACTGCAAACACACTGCCAACAACTTACAGAGATCTGTGTGCAGTCAGGTTCAGCAGATATTAGTCTGCCAATGGAGCTGTGCAGGAATGGGGGGACAGTGTGCTGGTCATTGTCCGACACTGAATACAAACAATAACAGCAGCTGTTATTAAACGAACCCAATAACGCAACTGAGAAGCAACCAATGTGCCGTGTAGTGAGACATGAGTGTGTGTTTTGAACACCGTGCATTTTGTGGTTAGTTATCTCAATAAAAGGTGTTCAGTGATCGTTTGATTGGTTTGTTGTTTAGGGATTTTTGTGTCTTTTTTATTCGATACAGTTCAGGCTTGTAAAATAAATAGTGATAAATAAAAAAAAACACAGAAATGATCATTTTTCAACGAGTGCTGATTTATTTTTTTCAAACTAATCCAGGTACAAGCATATTAATGTACCTTTCATTAATGCATAGCTTCAGTGATAAATATGTTTTTCGTGTTTAATTTGCATCATGAGGAAAAAATAGAAACCTTTAAATGAATTGCATCAATGAGCCATCGCCCTTTACTACTGCACAGCTTCAACCTACAGTTTGTCCCTGCACTACGGGCGCCCACAGCTCGTACATATGTAGGTCGGGTCAAATATAGCGGACACATTTCCCCCAAGAGGGATTTCCAAAGTATAGAGTTTGAAAGTGCTGCAAATGAGACAAAATAGAGCATCACACAAGGTATGACACAGACTGCCAAGTTAATGAATAGGTGATGGAAAGTTGCAGAATAAAAATATACTGTATGAGGAAGTGGTAAATCATGGGATGAACAAGATATTTTCAGTATGACGTGCAGAGATTGAGTGCCTTCTGACACTCAAGATCACAGCAATAAAACCGCTGACATTGGAAGATGGAGCTCTAGCACCAGTCTAGCCAATCCCTCACATGACCCATAACGGCGTCCTTTAGAGAGAAGACATGCAGGTGCACCAGGAGCCTAGGCATGGCCCTGTCCTGAAAAGCCATCAGGCCAAATCATGTCCATTAAAGTGATGGGCTGGTCAGAGAAATTATGGCCTGTGTCCACATGTAACATAACTCAGCCGGTGTCCAGCCACACCACACTATTTATGACGACTGCAGTTTGAAGGCTGATCTTCTCAAGTAGCCTTTAAGGAGGTGAAAGTCAAAGTAAATTCTAAGGCTCTTAGGCTAATCATTTGTTGGCTTCACAAAGGCATCCTGCTCTGCTATTATGCCAAATTAATGTTCCTGCTCCGATGTTTCTGAGGTGGTTGCAGAGTTTTGAGTCGAGTCAGTCGTCACAGGGCTCACTGCCATAGAGTGTCCGGCTCCGCAGCCAATGAGAAGAGGTCTGACACCAGAGACGAGCTGCGGCTGAAAGACGTCGCTGTGGGAACCGTCGCCACACATCCCATGTTCGTTCCAGCCCCAGGAGAGGAGACGCCCCCCTGAAAAGGAGAGGGGTCATGGGTTAGTGGAGCTGACAGGAGGAGAGGGGGACAGGGCTGCAGAACTGCACCCTAAAATTAGAAGCCTGAAGAAAAAAGGCTGGGTACACACACACACACACACACACACACAACACACACACACACACACACACACACACACACACACACAACACACACCACCACACACACACACACACACACCACCACACACACACACACACACACACACCACCACACACACACACACACACACCCACAACACACACACACCTTAATCCAGTGTACAACACACTTCACTCACACACACACACACACACACACACACACACACACACACACACACACACACTGGGAATTGTCCCCAAAGCTTACACTCCTTACAAAGCCAAGTGAAAAACAGCCAGAGAGCTTGTGGTGACGCAGTCACACGCCAACACACACACATACACCACACACACAAGAAAACAAGGCATCCTGCTGCCAGTGTCTTAGTGGTGAGAGCGCACCTGCTTTCACTCAAGGCTAACACTCTGCACTTTCCCTGTCCTCCAGTTGTCTCCTTTCCTCTTCCTCCTTTGATCGGGCTTCCTCTCAGTTTGGAGGCAGCTCAGTTGACCTCTGACCTCTGCTCTCTTCAGGTCCTCCTCACTCAGGTGCTCATCGATTTCGGGCTCTGGACCTGCTCGAACGCTTCCTGGACCTGGGTCCCTGGGCCGTCAGTCTGGACGTCTATGGACTAGATGCTCACCAGGAGGCATAAACATGCCATGAAGTCAAGCCTTTTTCATCTTTGTAATGTACTACATATGGTCTCGAACAACATATGATAAGAGGAAATGCTATAGACATACAGGTTAGCCCGTCATTATTTGAAGTAAGAAGGCCAATCGTCATATAAAGCATATTTATGTACAAAATATGTTTTCTTCTTATAAAAGCCAAACCCTCTCTTGCAAAAGGACTATCCACCACGCTGGATAACAGCCCACACAATCATTACCAATAACAATATATTTAGCCACAACATGCTGTGTTTTATTTCAGCAGCAAAAATCCCTGGCTGATAATCTTACGCCTTTTTAGAATGGGAGTCAAAGACTTCTGGTGGTAACAATATTGGAATTTCCATTTCAAACAGTACCTTGAGAAAAAACGTCCAATATGTGTTACCTTATGTGAGAAAAAGGTCTTGTGTAATTTGGATGTTAGACTCCTTTTTTTGTATTTGCTGCTCTTTTTACTAGAGTAAGTTCCCATTCCTTCAATCCATCCTTAAGACAATAGTTAGACCCTTATGATATTTCGAACAGGGTTTTCCTTTTCGTACTCATTACACTTGTTGAGAACAGGCCCATTAACACATATCTTCTAAATGCACTTTCAATGTAAGACATGTGGCCTTCAAGTTTCGTGATTTATACAAGTATCTTAGTATGCTAGCAGCCTCCCAGTCTTTAATGCTAAGCAATATGAAAGCTAAATTTTGCCTTCCTCCAGCTTCATACAGAATGCACAGACCTTATTTTCGAAAAAAATATGCATTAAAGGTCAAGGCGAGAGAAAAGTTATCTTTCGATCCCGTTTTAATTGTGCCACGAATTGCCAACATAATGATTGGCCAATTAAAAGAATAATTTTGGCAAAGTAAAAAAAAGAGAAAATTGTCGTAAATCTGTGAAGTAACGCTCTTTTTTTGTTGTGAAAACCGCTCAATGAACTACCATCTCTGGTCTCGTACAATACACGTCACCAACACCAAGCTGGCCGTTCACGTTACACATTTCTCCTCTTCCTTTCAGAATGAGGCGAAAAGTATTAAACGAGGAGAAAATCACTACAAGCTCTGGGCATGTTGAGAGCCCTGTAATTATATATACAAAAGGGGGAGGTTAGTCGTTCGGTTCCGTAAGAGCCCGAGGTGATTGTTATAAACGAGTGTATGTGTAACCGTTAATGTCAGCTAGCTAACTTAGCTAACAAAGTACACTCGTGTTTTGTTTTAGCAACTAGTTTTCTCGTCTAAGAACTGCGTGATCGCTGTGTAATGCTTTGGATAACATTAGTGTTGGCAAGGACAAGGTACACAGAAAACTAGTTGCTAAAACAAAACACAGGAGTGTACCTTGTTAGCTAATGTTAGCTAGCTGACATTAACGTTACACATTACACTCGTTTAACACTCACATAAACCTTGTACAGCCAGTCCCGCATGCTGGCTCTTACGGAACCGGCTAACTCCCCTTTTGTGTATTAGCAGCTCTCAACATGCCCAGACTGTAATGATTTCTACCTCATTTAATACTGTTCACCTCATTCTGGTGTTGGTGACGCGTATTGTGCAAGACCAGAGATGTAGTTCATGGAGTGGTTTCACACACAAATAAGTGTTACTTCACAGTTTTACGACAAACTGTGACTTTTTTTTACATGGAAATAATTTTTTAAGATTAACAAACATCATATGTGTAATTCATGGCACAATTCAAACGGGATGAAAAGATAAATTTTCTCTCGCCATGGACTTCAATACATACTTTTTCCAAAATAAGGTCCCATGGAGTTCCACCGGAAAGGGAGGGACTTTGGCTCTCTTTGTTAAAAAAAGAACCACCTTGTGCTGTCAATCAGTTATACAGAACGCTCCAAAATGCAATCTCAGCTTATTGACAAAGCTGGGGAGAAAAGGACAGACATGGGAACTCCAAACTAAATAGCAATTGTCATCATTTTTACATTTCAGACCACAGACAACCATTCAGTAGCAAAGCCTCCATCTTAACTGTGTGTGTGTGTGTGTGTGTGTGTGTGTGTGTGTGTGTGTGTGTGTGTGTGTGTGTGTGTGTGTGTGTGTGTGTGTGTGTGTGTGGGCCCTCTCGGTGGGGATCTTCCCCTACGTTCTGAAGCTGCTCCAGAGCTCGGCCAGAGAGCTGCGGCCTCTGCTGGTCTTCATCTGGGCTAAAATCCTCGCCGTGGACAGTGTACGTTCTGAGAAGCACTTGCTGCCTTATATTTTATATTCCTGTACTATCCTGAGTTGTTTAACATTTTTAGAAAGCAGTTTTACATCACAAGCTTATTGTCATTATAAAAATACCATCGGCCTGGAAATGAAGATAAACACAAGTAGGAGACAAATAAAACATACGTTTCAGAGTTAATTTGATTTTGTGTGAAGTGTGCACAATGATTTATATTGTCATTGCACTGATGATTTTGCATCAACTGAAAGTGCAGATGCACTTAGACCCTGTGTGCTTAGCAAATTAATTGGGGTCAGTCCGAATTTAGACAAATTAACAATGATTTCATTATCCTTGGTTGATTGAAAATCTGAATTAATAAAGTTGCTACAGTTTTATTAAGTAAAATTCAAACGATTGACTTTGATTTTTAGAGAGTGAACTTTACTGCAATGTATGTAACAGACTGAAAACTAAAGTATGTAGTAGACATAGACATGATTTTTTTGCATTAAGATAAATGATTCAAAATAACAGACAATACACATCCTGATTTTAACAGACATTACAACAAAATATTGATTATAAATACTCAAAAGAGACATGAAATAATAAAAATGGAAAGCACACATTAGTAATAAAATAAGTACACAACCATGGCTATAAAGGAGTAGCAGTAATGTCAGTGAACAAAGTGACATGCGTTCAGGGCCATGGGAGGAATAGACAGAAACTCAACCTCTGCAGTAAAGTGAACCCCTTCCTCCTCTTCTCTGTCTTTCTCTCTGCAGTCGTGCCAAGCTGACCTGGTGAAGGACAACGGACACAAGTACTTCCTGTCGGTGTTGGCCGACAGTTATATGCCGGTGAGTATCCACCAAGCCCTTTTGTGAATGAAGTGACCAATGTGGGATTTTCTTTAGATTCAAGGGTCATTAATTCTTATTCAGCAACATATGATAAAAGATAAAAACCAAAAGCAACAATGCCATCCTATTATATATATTTTTTAATATGCATTAAGAGGAAATGTAAACATCAGCAACAAATCTAATGGATAATTCTCTGGACAGATAATGAGACCTGCATCCTAAAAACTCAGAGAAACTTTGTCCATCAACTTAGGTTTTTAAGTTATATATCTCTTCTTTTCTTCCAGTTTTTACACTTCAGCAATATGTGGTTCAAAAAGTAAATGCTGAAGTACCTTAAACAACGTTCTTTCTAGTGGCCAGTAGGGGGTGAGGCCACTGGTTGCTAAAAGAAGTCTGATTGTATGGAAGTCTATGAGAAAAGGACCAAACTTCTCACTTGATTTATTATCTGGGGAAGCGTGTGGCGCAGTGGAATAGTGCGTTGGTGTTCGGATCAGGGGGTCACAGGTTCAAACCCCACTGCAGTCAGCATGTCGTTGTGTCCCTGGGCAAGACACTTCACCCCAAATTGATAAAAGCGTCTAACAAGTGACATGTAATGTAATTATCTTAATGGTCTGAATTTGAAACCTTCTTGAATATACCATGATGTTCATTTAGTAAATGATGGTCCGTTTAAAAGTTAAACAGACGATAAAGCCGGGTAAGCTTTAGCACCGGGCTACCTTTTGATTGACAAGTCGCTGTACATGTTACTGGTTTGAAACTTTAACCATTTCACTGTGTGTTTTCAGTTCAGGGATGTTTATTCTGACATATTTGTGTGTACTTGTGTCATTGCTGGTGACAAAGATGGCGACACAGCCACAACAAAAATATAGTTGCAACCAAAACTCAAAAAGACATGCCGTCTATGGGTTCATAAAGTAAAATGAAATGAGATCTTACTGTTTATTCATTTGTTCCAGGCTGAGCATCGCACCATGGCTGTCTTCATATTGGCTGTTATCGTCAACAGCTACACCACGGGACAGGTAAGAGTGTGTGTTTGGATATGTGTGTATTTCTGCACTGTTGTACGTTTGTTTACTAGAAGCCCCAAGGGAGAACGTAACAAAATATTAATTTACTTCCATCACCAGAACCTCCTGGGGTTCTTCCAGGGACAGCCGTCACTTTGAGAGAAGGCTCTTTCGTCCATTGTGTATTTCCTGGAGATATTGGTTATTTGTCAGCAACAGTCACCTCTCTAATCTCCGTCTCCAAACCCAGCCACCTCTGTGGTGACACTTGATCACCACAAGTGTTACTTTGGCCCGTTCCTAGCCCCCTGTGTTCAATCCCAGAAGCCTTTTGTGCCTCGTCTGTTTCTTGGAGTACGCATACTCTTCCACGAAGAAATATTCCACCATCCCTCCCTTGTGTTTCTCTCTCCTGCTCTCTGCAGTTATTTCTCTGTCTACTTCTGAATGTTATTTAACAATGCTTCTCTCTCCACATCACATAAATGTGACAAATCAGAAAAGCTATATGTGCTCTCGAACTCAGAAACAGCCATTCCTCTTCTCTAGCACCGTTCCTAAACACTCCTACCTCTCTCACAGGCCTGTAAATAATAGATGCCCTCCAACATTACAGAGACTCTCTTTCTGCTCCATGGCTCCATTATTTATCCCTCTTACTTTCAACAACAGTGCTCATTACTGCGCTATCGCTGCTGCGAAAACGCCACAGAGCACGGCGTCTTAATATTCCTGTTTTTCAGCTGGGAGGCTTCATGAGAGATGAAGGGGCGATGCACAAGTGATCTGAGGCACGGGAAGAAAGTAGACAAGGGGGGGCGAGGGCACATGGTGTCGCTGCTGATAAAAGATTATTCATTTTTTTGATATCTCAATCTGGATATCTCAGCACACACAACAGGTCCATTTGTTGTGGCTTCGATGTTTACCAAATGTTCTTAGTTATCACAAAGTTACATCAACAGCAGAAGAAACCAGTCATTCATAATTTTCAATTTGTCATTATTATAAAATGTTGTCCTTTAATAACACTTATTCAGTGATCTTGTTAGCATATGTGTTGAACAGCTACTGTAAGTACTAAAGTGATGGAAGTGCCAAAATGAAGATAATCTACAAAGAGTTCCAACTTCCGGTCTACAGTGTTGATATTTATAAAAACGATTTAACCTAGAGCCCAACTCAATGAACCTGTCATTGTGCTATTTAGCTAGCAAATCTTAGCTGTTTAGCTTTAGAACTATCTATCCATCCATCCTTCCGTCCATCCTTCATAGCTTAATAGTTCATACAGAAGCTTTAAAACTTTTTATTTGGCAAGTAAAGGTTGTCAGAGTTGGTGACGTCATGTAAGGTAATAGCAATTAAGCTTTAACCAGAAGTGCCAGGCCATTATACAGCAATATGGAAACGCCCTGGATCCGGCGAAGCTGAATAGTTAAATAGGAAGATAAAACAGCAGCTCAACACTGATTAAAAAAACTAAACCCCTTAAAGGTCTCCTATCATGCAAAATGCACTTTTCGATGTCCTGTATACATAAATATGTGTCCCCGGTGTGTCAGGGAACTCACAAAGTGTCAGAAAATACCACCCTCTCTCTTTTCCTCCATACCCACATCTCTAAAAACGGGGATACAACGGAGCTGATCCAGATTTGCTGCCGATATGACGACATATCTGTGGGCTGGCTTTACACCCACGGCCCTATCAGAAACAATGTGCAGCATTTAGCTGTATCTGGGTAGAATTCTCCTGATCAGATACTCAGAATAAGCTCCCCCCCTCTTTTTTTTTTGGTATTTTGAGCAAAACACATTAAAGACATGTTTTTTTATATATTTGTATATAGAGACCCAGAATATACGTCTAAAAATAGTATGATAGGAGATGTTTAAAATCTAAATGTTTCTCCATTCAAATGTCTTTAACCAACTTTCAGATATTCTTTTGAGTTGTATATTTTTCAAACCATGAGAAATCTTGACAAAAGAACAAAACATTCTCACAAGAAGGAAATCAAAAGTGAATCAAAGCAGTATTTCTGTTGCACCGAAAGCCTTTAAAAGAAAAATAACTTTGACATTAATGTGAACTGTTTAGTAAATTTAACTCAAGAGAGCCTTTATTTTTGTTATTTTGACACACACATTTTCTGGCTCTTCACAAAGTCCAGCGTCTTTGACGATCAATCCAGTCTCTGCTTGTGTTCTGGCGAAGTGGAGGAATCAAATTGATTTTGACAAAGGACGAAAGTTTTAAAAGTATTTTGAATAGAGGAAGCACTCTACATCAGTGGTCCTCAACTAGTGGGTTGCGGACCCGTTTCTAGTGGGTCGCAGATATGTGAGTGAAGAAAAAATCAATATAATTATTTTGTGTTTTTTTGAAGGCCCGATGTTCTAACACTGTGCATGCAGTAGGCGTTGGACTGGAAGTACCGGAGACCATAAGCAAGTTTTGACAACTTCTGTCATATAGTGATCATCTTCTCAATAAAACATCTTTGCTGATGTTTTTTCGAGTCTTCTGGACAATCAGAATCAAGATTGTTGCCGGAAGTCCCCACAGAGAATAACTTTGCGGTAGAACTACTCTTTATACATCCATGGGTACAACTTCAGATAAATGAACACATAATGAAATATGACCCCCGGTTTGATGATTGACAGGTCACAGAACAATGGGAGCTATCTACCCTTACCCACAATTTAAAGTAATTCACACAGACTCTTTCCTCTTCTCTCTGTGTGGAGCAGCAAGCTGTCAGAACTAAGTGAAAAACAAACAATGGCATCAAATATTATTAATATGTCGGGTAGTAATAGATTTATTTTTATTTTTTCTTAGAGTGTACCAGAATGCGTAGTTTATATGTTAGTATTTCTAAACATCTCCTGGGGGAGAATCCCCCCGGACCCCCTTCTGGGGTTGGGTTTTCAGCATGTGTGCCTTTTTATGTTATACAGTTCAGCTTTGATTCCATCATCTCACTAAACCTTATTTAAAAGCATTCTTTAGTTCTGTGAAGGGATATAAGGGATATATGCACTGTACCTCACTTTCATTAATATTGTATGCTGAAAAGCGTATATATTATAGCACCATTTTGTGTTGCTTTAGCCCCGAATGTTTTTTCTGTAGCCCCGGACAATTCTTGTTACGGTAGAGTGAAGCAAGCAGGACCCAAATGCAGATAATACTGATAATACCTTTATTTCAAGGATAAGAATAAAACTCGGACAAACAGAACACTCCCCGGTGAACTCAGTCACCAACAAAAGACAAACCAACACTGAACACAGGAAGAGACAAGACTAATTACAGGGAGGGGTAATCACGAGACGAGAAACAGCCAGGCAGGGGAGGAGAAACACAAGGGCGACAGGTGAACACACTCAGACAATTAGACACACCAGGGAACTAACGACGGGGAGGAAAAACACAAGGAGAGGGACCAGACAATACCCAAGGAGGAAACATGACAGGGAGAACCGATCATGCATCACTAGAGCCACCAGGGTGGGTGGAGGGGGTCAGGAGGAAGGGTTTTAGGNACCTTGTGTGTACATACAGCTCTCCACATGCCCAGACTTGTAGTGATTTTCTCCTCGTTTAATACTTTTCACCTCATTATGAAAGAAAGAGGTGAAATGTGCTAACGTGACGGCCAGCTTGGTGTTGGTGACGTGTGTTGTGCGAGACCAGAGATGTAGTTCATTGAGCGGTTTCACACCAAAAAAAAAGTTACTTCACAGTTTTACGACAATTGTTTTTTTTTTACTTGCAAAATTATCTTTTAAATTGACAAACATCATAATGTGTAATTCTTGGCACAATTCGAACGGGATCGGAAGATAATTTTTCTCACGCCATTGACTTCAATACATACTTTTTCCGAAATAAGGTCCCATGGAGTTCCACCGGAAAGGGAGGGACTTTGGCTCTCTATTCTAAGTAAGCCCACGAGAAGCAAACCAAATGACTGCTCTATAGCACCCCCCAGTGGTCAACAGCCCTGCTGGGTACCTTTAACTTGAAGTGTTGGGTCTTCATGCTAAACATGAATGTTTGAATCATTTGAGCTTTTTTATAATATTTTCAGACTTGATATCAAGTTCACACTTGAGGGGACCCATGAAGCTTGCTATTGTGCCAAATTGTCAGCTGAGCATGATCTTTTAATGAAATACCTGACTTTACATTTGGTACTGTTTTAACTGTGTAAAAGGAATATTTCACATTTTTTCTGATGACAGCACAAACATTATTGAGTTGTTTTGACTGTTCACTGTGTTGCATTAAATTGTACATTACACTTCAGTCTCTGATGGTACGTCTGTCTTTGTTTGGAGATCGGACTCTTCAGTCGGGCTGAGAGACGTTTGAGTATTCGAAGCCACTCCGGAGTCACTTTGACTGTGGAAGGTTGTGAAGGTGGGGGGAGGTTTCTCTAGTGCGAGAGTGGGGTGGTTTGCCCTGCTGCGACGCAACGACTTTTTCAGCAAGGGCTGGAAGGAGCGGGCCGAGGCAGCCTGGGAGCTCCTCACCGTGCGCTTGTTGATGTGTTCCAGGGTGAGGCGGCACCGCAGCACCTGGACAAACACCTCCCGGAACTGTCTCGACGACAGGTTGTAAAGAAACGGGTTGATGACGGAGCTCAGATAGAAAAAACTGTCGGCCACTGGGTGGAGAGTAACATAGCTCCGGAAGTAGGAAGTAGTCCAGCGGGATTTGGGCACGGCGGTCATAAGACGACGTATCTGGTAGGGAAGCCAGCAGACCATCAGGGACCCCACGATGAGACCTGGGGAAGAGACAGAGAGAATTCAGAAAAAAAAGAGAAGATTGATCCCACTCACGTTTGAACAGTAAATACAAAACTAGAGATGCTTAGCTTAGCTTAGCATAAAGACTAGAAAAAGGGGTAGCAGCCACTGTAGCATCTGTCTGTTCCAACGAAACCTACGAGCACCTTTAAGGCTCACTTTTTAGCAAAATACAATACGTTTGTTTAATCTGTTACAGAGCTACTTTAACATGACGTGCTGTCATTTACATTTTAAATACAATAATACATAACTCTATTATTAAATAATTATTTGAGGGAGCTCTTGTATTCTTCATACTTATCTAAGCTAATCTAATCTTCTGACTTTATATTTGAAAAAAATGAATCCTGAAAAAGAAAATACAAGAAAATGTAAATAAAATAAAAGATACAAAATAAGATTTTATTGGAAGGGTTACAGTTATCCTATAATTGTCAAAATGTATACTCAGCATGCGGCAAATGTTCCTGACCTGTCTTCAGTTGCAGCCCTTTCACTGTTTTGTGAACAAAACTTGTCAGCTGAGCTCCAGCTGGAGGTTTGATCATAATAAATTACACCTACTGCTTTTCTCACATCCTCTGATATCTAAACTTGCTACCAAGGTTTTCCCTTTTCATACTTTTCATTCATTACTGCGACTTACATTGCACATCAATTCACAAAGTAGTTAACCTGTTAGACCCCAAGCCTGTTTTTCAGGTCTCAGGCTCGAAAATGACATTTCGAGAACAAATGACCATAACTAGACTTCTAAAAGGGGAAAATTAATAATCTTTGTTCTCAAAGTAATGATAAACCTGTGAGTTGGATGTAGAAAAGTCAGAATCAATATAGATGTTTTTTATTTTAAAGAAAATTGAGATTGAACATAGTAAAAAACTGTAAATTATAGTGTCCGTCCAAAAAAATGTTTTGCCCAGAGCCAAATTGTCTCACGCTCTGAAAATATGAAAACGGAAAAATCGGTTTATTGCTTATGGATTATCAGAAATCATTTCAATGTGACACAGAAACATTGTATTAACCTTTGGATAACCTTCAGCAGCGTTTTTATCGTTTTAATGCCATTGAAGACAACTTTTGATCAGACAACAACAAAGGTAAGAGATATGGCCGTTTTAGCTACCTAGCGCCATGTGTTGTGATATCTGTTTTTGTCAACCTGATCTCACCACAATGCGTGACTCCACCACGACTCCTTAACACTGCATTGCGTGGTGGAGTCACGAACTTTGCTACATTTACGTGTCTGCACCACGCAAATAACCCCAATGTAAAGTGAATGAGGCTCCTTTGTCATGGTGCACACACGCATTTCTACAACGTCCTGCAGTGAGCTTTTATCCTATAAAACGTTTATAAAATCTACTTTATAGCTTGTAGTAACTCACGGGACACTTCTTTTATTTTATTTGTATTCATAATAATTTGTATTTTTCGTCAGAATGTATTATGGTGCATTAGTTACGAATTTTGGTTCTCAAAAAACAGTGCATTGTGTGTAATGCAACTGTGATTTTTATTAAATTAGTTAGTTTTGAAGGAAGGCCAGAGCTTCAGCTGTGTCAAATAGATTGTTCCCTTTAGTTAACGTTATTTAAAAGATAATGANAGAAATTACGTTCCCACAGAACTAAACTGCATTCTCAATGACGTTTAGCAAGAAACGTATTTTCTCCCACGTTACGTTCGTTATGAACGTATCTCAAATACGTTTATTTTCTACATATCTTTTCGAAACATATTTTCTCTCACGTTACGTTTCTTATGAACGTATCTTAAATATGTTTATTTTCTACATATCTTTGCCATTTATTGTCTTGCTTATAATAATGATAATAGCCATTTATAAATATCATTTTAGAGCACACATTTGAAATCAGTAGGCGGGGCTATCATTTCGCCAGCTGTTACTCTCATGAGCGAGGCAGAAAATAATAGTTTTATCATGCCAAAAAGCTGCTATGTCGTTTATTGCACCTCAAACATTAAAACAAATCCAGAGTTACGTGTTTCTGTACTTCCTCTAAGAAGAAAGGACAGTAACAGAAGATCTCTGTGACGCCAGATGTGGTGTTGTTAATGCGATATGATATCCGAAAAAAAAATCAGTTTAGGATGGCCGAAGACACTACACTACCCGGTAGTGTAGTGTCTTCGGCCATCCTAAACTGATTTTTTTTTCGGATATCATATCGCATTAACAACACCACATCTGGCGTCACAGAGATCTTCTGTTACNGACTTTATTTTGCTTACTTTAACATCATTTTTCATGGTGGGGCTAAGGTGGGGCTAAGCCATTTATTGGCATTCTGTAGCCTACCCCAGCCATACCCTGACCCTGACCGCAAATACCTCATTCCTTCCGTCTACTTGGATCCGAAATGCTTCTCGTTTTGTGCTGTCCTCCCGTTGAAATGAAACC